GCTGGGTGGGTCTGTCTGTCATCAAGATGCAGCCTTGCGGAGCTTGGGCTGAAGTGGGTTCAGCATTTGGGCTTCGAGTTTGATTGGACTGTTTGCTGGCACGAGCGGGCTTCAATGTCCAGGATCATGATGCCAAAGGGAAAGCCGCGCGATTCCCCTACGTAGACCCCAGTCAAAAGCAGTCCTGGACTACCGCGTGGAAGAAGCAAAAGCCGAACAACAGTGTCTTGAAGACCTGGGAGTGAAGCTTGCCAGCTGCTGGGCACTTCGAGTGCTTTGAGATGCAGGGTGTGCTTTGAGATTCAAGCCTTCCGACTCATTGGCTTGCCATCCCCAGTTGGGTCTCAACTTTGTTCATTCCCAACCGATGTTCGGGCATACTTCAGGGCAGACTGCCGGAGGCTTAGTCGCATCATCATAAAGCTGCGACTTCGTGAAACCGCCCCAAAGCTCGAACATGATTTGTCTATTGAAGACCACACTTCGCAGGATCACTGAGTCTCAGCCGAATGATCAATCATGCATGGATCAAAGCCACTTCTTAGTGGTACAAAAAGGTTGGCGTGACTCAAATGATGCTGAATTTGCATAGTTTGGCAATGCGACCATAAATGTTGGAACTGGGATTCTATCACGATCGTGATGGGCCATCATGGCGACGCGATAATACTGGATGTTACCGCCGTCCGCACATCTCTTGGCTAGTTTGCTGAGGAGTGTTAATGTTGTACCGCTAAGGTCTCCAGTGGAGCTCTCGTTCTGGCTGGTAGTCGCATGGTCTTCATCTGTCATCATGATCAAGCTTTCAGCAAGGTGGTGATCAATTACAACGGAGGGTTGAATACAAGGCGAAGAATTGGGTTGCTCCGGGCCGGGTAATACAAGGCACTTAGGAACTTGCAGCCATGAATGCCACACAGGGGAGCGTCGTCTGCGAACAACGCGTGAAAGGTATGTACAACCCACGCCAAAAATATAACGAGAGATACGCGCAGTCATCTACAGACTTTCTGAAATTCTAGGTGCTCAAACCTTCGTCCCGAGGCCGGAAATGATCAGGGCCCACGCGCCGGGCTTGTCCGACTCCTCGAAGAGCCGATCTGTGACCGAGCTGTACGAGCGCAGCCTCGAATCACTAAGGATGTTTGCAGGCTCCTGCGTGCTTGTAGCGACTTCGGGGTGTTGTGAAAAAGGCACTGTCGAGTGAGTCGAGTGTATGCTTTTGTTTTTTCTTTTCTCATGCAAGCAAACCACCTATAGGACCTATAGGCCTTCTGATCACTCTTCATGTAGTCAATCCGACGATGTGGTTATTAAGTTTGGCAGCTACCCAATGCATTGAGGTCGAGGTGAAGAAACATCACACCAAATCCCCTGACAAGCGGCCTGGGGCTTTCAATCGTTGTCCCGTTCGATTGGTTCCTCCTTTTGGCCGCTAAGAAGGACACAAGAGGGCATACGCTTTGCTGTACGCCTCATCGCCACAGCAGCCGAGAGTTCGAGGGTCGGGGGGCGAGTTGATTGCATCGATAAACCTAGATTGCCGAGACGACTCCAGCCTTCAATTGGTGGAGCTTCTTTCCCCATGTCAATACGTTCCAAACCCACATGTCCTTCCTGCCATGGACGATGTTAATGTTAGTTGGCTGCCACCACAGGATGCAAATAGAAACGAGCAGAAATCCAACACAAGGGTGCGCATCACATCGCGCAGCGCTGCGCGACGACTTTGCTGAAGTTGTTCTTGATGGCGACTCAGCAATGAAGCAGACTGCCTTGATGATGAAGTCATGTAAGGACGGTAAGTACCGAGTCGAAACGTCGAGTCGGCCAAGCCCCGGGTCGAGTTGAAAATTGAGGTTTCCCAGGTCAAGGCATGAGGGGAAAGTGGCAGAGCGTCGAGTCGTAGGGCCCGCGTCAGGCCTCGAGTCGGCCCTCAAGAAGATTTTGGGCCTTAAGTTGCAACAGGTACGTTTTCTTACTCGACTCGCATGGTCCATTTTCTGGTAAAGCCAGACATTTCCCGACTAAGTATGCATCGCTGTGCGACTCGCAAATCCAAAACTCAAATCGACAGTTTAAGGCCTGCACTTTGATGATTAAACTCCAAATCCTAAACATGATCAACCATGGCCTCAACCCACCCGACCTGCTACTGAGGGTTGAACAGATTGGCGCGAAGTCCAGAAGGAGGCTCGTTGGTCATCTTGATGCCATTCTGCAGAACCTTCAATGACTGTGGGCTTCTTCTCAGATAGCATACAAACTCAATGCAAGCAAAACCTGTATTATATCATGAGTGTATACATACACAGATGGTTTATACATGCATTTGAAACGTACAATATACCATATATGCTCAAACGTCGCAGATACATACATACATACATACATACATACATATCAGACTCAGTGGGACAGACTGAGACAGACGGACAGACTCGAACAAACAGACTCAGACACACAGACAACCGGACAGACAGACAAACAGCCAGGCAGGCAGGCAGACAGAGAGATATCTGAAAAGATTGTTGTTGGTGTTTGCCCTAAGGAAAATTGGTTTCGGGGTGAAAAACCAACCTTTGCTAGTCAAAGGTTGGCTCTGGACCGGAAAAACCAACTGTTTCCTATTCAATCCCCCTCCCAAAAATATCTTGGGAAACACTGCAGCCAAAGACCAAAAAGATGATTCTCTTTGTTGTCCCACGTTTTTCCTAAGAAGAATTGAATTTTCACACCAACACCATCTTTTCCTAAAACCGACTTTTGCCAAGGGAGCTACAACGGATGATGAACAAAATTCAGCCGAGCCTCAAAGCCATAATCCCTCGAAAAGCACACCCACCCTGAACCCTCTCTATCATATATATATATATACATACATATATATATATATACACGTACATATATATATATATGGGCGCACCCCTATTTGGGGTCCCCTAGGTTTTTCGCTATGCCATCTGACTCGGTTATAACCACCCAACTAGGTTATGACCAGCTGACTAGGTTATAATCATGTATATGTTATCGAGTATAGTATTATATCTATATGGAAGAGCTCGATGACGATGTCGACAATACAGGCACCTTGGATAGCAGGAGAGTGTTGGAATGTGTCCAGTTACATGTGTATGTTTTTGTTTGCTTTTCTTAAGTCATCTTCTGATAATGCTATTTTCACCCCATTCTCACTGCAGAGATTGCCTGTGTGCTTCAAAACGTGACAATGCGATTTCTGCATTTGCCACTTTCACCCGACTGTGCTAAGCCTTCTAGCTAGCACCGACATCATGGATCCTCCTACATTGACATGGAACATGTACTCTTGCATATCAGACTCTTCGATATGCAGACGACCGTGCCGCTGACGAGACCATCGCTTCAAGCGATTCTTCTCTGATTCAGCGTCATTCGTATGAAAGCCAGTATCGGAATCCCGGAAGCACTTATGGTGCTTCACAGATGGCGGATGGGCATACCCTAGCTGATCAGCCGCCTTTGTAGTAGCTGTCCAGCCGTCAAAGACCAGTACACTCTTCTTGTGTATCCGGCAGTGAAGCGTGTCACGAATTTCATACAAACCGCGAGGCTTGTTATTCACAGCCTGGGATGTACGCGGTAGGAGTCTGTATGTTATCTTCTTCAGACCGTTCTCATGCGTGAAGACTTGATTTCCGCGACCTACACACACAGCAAGCCACAACCACTTGCCGTTTAGCTTGAGGTTAGCGGCTGGCTTTTCAGAACACGAAGAGGACAACGATGAGCGGAAGGACGTTTGATACAGCCCGACGCCGAAGGACGCTTCATGGAAACAGACGCCGATGGACGCTTCATGGAAACAGATGCCGACGGACGCTTCCTATGAGAAGAGAAGGATGCCGCAAGCGAGTGACCCCAACGCTTTGCGTTCACCTTTCTTGATGAATACCTTCATGCTACCCTTGGCAACCTTCATAGAAGTAGCTTCATGTCTTGCATCAGCTCGTTCTTGTTCATGAGCTCCGTTTTTGTTGATGCCACGGTTGCCCAAGGACCACCCATCCTCCGGATGTGTCCCGACCAAACGTTCATCGATGACAACCGTGTGGTTGGCGCCTCCAACCTTCATTTGATTCATGTTCACGAGAGCATTCCCCAAGCTTCCTTGATACAATCGACGCCAACCCAACATAGTGTCGTCCTTCACATTGCCATACCAGCCCGCATTTCATCGGTGATCCGAACCCATGGTAACCCCAGGCACAGCATGTTCATGATGCGCAAGAAGGGCATCCAGTTGTTAATGTTGACCTTACTGAGAAAGCCGCACGAGTTGACGGAATGGTTCATGCGCTTGTGTCCACTTGTTCGACAAGTCCATCGATATCTGAAACCGCCGTCGGAGCTGGACTTGGAGCACTCCAGCCGTGTTTGGCCACTGCATTCGGCGCATTTGTGCATTCCCAATATAATGCCAGTGCGCAGAAACACTGCGATGGATCTGAGAGTCAAACTAACATTCTGTCCATCTTCATCTAGAACTTGCCGTTGAAGCATGTAGTGACGGAAATGAGTGTCTGATTGGAACCACTCTTCACACACACCTTTCTGGAAATCGATGAAAGATGTCCTCCAACGGTTTGCCATGCAGGCCACCAGTTTTAGGGAGCAGCGGCATAATGATCCTCTACCCTGTGAACTCAAAGGTTCGATGCCTAGAGCCAGTCCGAATATGATGCGAGTACAATGCAAGCTGCAATGCAAGATAGTTTCGGCATCATAAAGTGGAAGCACATGCAACATGTACTCTGTCACTGTTTTCTTCTGAGTGCACCACGATCGGTGAGATGTGAGAAGTCAAAACTATTCCAGCGACAATGGCTCGGCATCGTGGTCGTCCATGTCAATCCTGGCTTGTTTGGCCGGCGGGGATGTGATGAGAGGACTGGCTGACATACCTCCAGGTACTGAATCGACAGGATTAGAGGCCATTGCGGCAGTAGAAGGACGCGGAGTCATGGGATCCGGCTCTGTGCTCTGTCCAGCGATCGTAAGTGGCACCCCTGCGCAGGTATTCCTTCCTTCTCCTCTGGCGAGGCGAGCAATTCAGAGACGAAGTTCGTCTCTTCCTCCACGTATCGATCAAAGTCCTGGTATTTGGTGTGCTGTCCCTTCTTGTAGTGATCATAATGCGGCTTGTTGGTTGGCTGTAACCAATCTTCCGTAATCCCATCGTTGTTGATGCAATGGATCTTCTGGTTTTGGTGTTCCGAAGCCAACCGTACATAGATCGCGTTGTTACCGGCAATCATCACAGAAGCCCTCTTCAAAGTAGCCATGATGTGAGGCATCGGGGCATCATTTAAAGCCGGCTGGAACATAGCCAAGAACTGCTTCCAAGTGATCATAGGCAGGCCAACATACTCCGGTTCCTTCTCAGGGGACCATTCATTGTTAAGAGGAACCCGGCACTGATTCCTGACAAACTTAGCTGCGCGATAGCGTGCATCCACCAGACCATTCTCGCCCACGTCCAGGAACGATTTGATATCTTCGACATTGATGGAAGGAAGGAGCGGATCGTCCAGGATGACAGGGATGTGAATCTCCCCGGGTCGTTCTCTAAATCCATCGATCTGTTTGGAGCGTCGCCATCCAGGGAAGTAGCCGTCCATATTGCGGGCCTGTATCAGGTAGCGAGCCACGGCCATGACCATGATGATCGCTGCAGGAGTCTTTCCGATGCCTGGCTTTCCAAGAATGATCAAGCCAAAACTCAACAAGGTCGGCAGAATCATTGGTACCACCGTCGCCTGGAACTCGCTGTTCAAATCACGGAGGAGGAGGGGAAAGAAGTACTCCGGCTCGGACTGGCTGTTACCGGTGGCCCTGTTGCCACACGCTTTGCCGACAATATGAAGCGGCCAACCACAGATGGGGCTATCCTTTGACCACAAGAACTGCTCATTCTTGGCATTGGCGAGTGGCTCGTGGTTGTTGATGTGCTCGATGCCGGCCCTGAGCTCTTCAGGACTAGGGTCCCATTTCATGTCACCTTCGCTGTTGGTTTTCACCTTGGTAATGCTTTTTTGCCCAAGAGCTTGTGTCATCCACATCTCACCTGGTATGCGGGACAAGAGATAAAGGAAGGCCTTCTTCAGCAAGTCGGAGTTCTCGGAAACAGCGTAGTTCAAGACTTTGACCTCCTGGGCGCAAAAGGCCTTGGCAAGGCCCAGCGGAACAGGGACCTTCGAATGAAAGAATTTCAACACGGTGTAGGTGTCGTTGTCCTGATTGGGCCAAATCACAATCTGGAGCTTGCACTGCTACCCAAGCGCATCTCGTGGACGAACAGAATCAGGTAAGCGACCTATGCGGTTTGGGTCTGAGTTCATGGTCTCCACGATTGTCTGGTAGTCTGAGGCCGAGACATTCCTGACTACATGGAAGAATTCTTTGAACTTCTTACCCTTGGCGAGGAGCGAGTCTACAAGAGGAAGATCCTGGATACTGTGCTCTCCTTCGGTGATCTTGCTGTACTTATGAATGTCATAGTACTGGACATAGGTGTACTTGGATGCGGCCATAGCTTGGTCCATCGCGCGGAGTGGCGAAAATGCTAAAGCTAGCTATGTACGGCTACACGATTTCCAGATAGCTTCTTTTGAGAGCAGCGAATCAGACGTTGCACTCAAGACGACCGCCGTGTTTATAAACAAGGCGGGTGTTTATAAACAACCTTTGTGTGCAGACAGTGGTTGCTCAACATGCGCAGGCACAAGATGAGCAAGTCTCACACTCTTTCTCTACAGGGACGCCACGTCTCGATACTGCTGCATATCTCCTGATCAGGAGCTCTCCGAATCTAACTCATCAAAGCGCCGCTTTGCGGCATAGATGCTCTTGAAAAGATTCTTCAATGCCTGTGCCCTTTTGTTGGAACCGGCGCAGTGCTGATTCAAGGCAGTCGTCTGCTGCCAAAGGTCATGCCATTCGGCTCCCCATTGACTAATATCTATCACGGGAAGCGAACTGCTGCTGCTCGAATCACTCGAAGAAGTAGACGCGCACTCCGCCTGGTTGGACTCAGCAGTGGCTTGCAGGGGAGTCTCAGCATTCTCGGTCAGGGGCTGCTCATGGTCCATGCTCTCCGAGGTCTTGGAAGAGGAGGGCTGCTCGACATCTTTGATTGCCAGGGCCGCTGGGGTCTTGGAAGAAGACGGCTGCTCCACGTCCTTGATCGCCAATGGCCAATGGCTTTGAGGAGGAACTCTTAGCCCCCTTCTTCGGCGCTGCAAACCAACGAAGTATCTTGAGCCTTCTCAGACCAACCGCCAGAGATGCCGGCAGGCAAAGTGAGCTTGTTCTGCAAGTAGCACATATGGCTCTGCAG